GCTTGCCGGAGGCTAGCGGGGAGGGCACCGCAGGGACCTCCCAGATCGGCGCGGGAAAGACGCTCCTTTTCTCGGGATGGGGGCAAAACGCTTCTCTCCCCCCTCCACGCTCCCCCTTTTCCATGCAAACAGATCCCTTCCCGGATCAACCCCCGAAGCCTGTGGAGGACCTCAAGAAGCCGCCAAGCATGCAAGGCTCATAAAAGCCATGGAGCCCCTGGATCCTCCAGTATTCAAAGCTATACTGCTACGGAACAAGGAGGCTCCGCTGCCACCAGTTTTGGATTGGCCAGTCCGCCAGAAAATGGTTATGTTCCCAACAATCCTACCAGGTGGAGTCCTAACTCGGTTAGGCTTAAGGCGTTTGGATTTCCCAGCTTCACATGCAGTCAAGACTGGTGTTTAGGCAGAGTGAGGGCACTGCCCCAGGTAGCGATTACAGTGAAGGGCTGAGAAGACAGAGCCCCCCCCCAGTTTATCCTGCACCTATGAAGCCCCCCCCCGCCTTCATTTGTGCTGGAGATTGTCATCCCCTCCTCTCTTGAGTGGTTTCTTGGCCTTTGCTTCAGGCAGCAGAATCTCTGGGGTCAGCCCTGCTTGCAGGGGAGACACAACAGCTGCTAGCTGAGGTTGCTTATGCATGCCTCTTACACGGGGACACAGTCCTTGAGGCCAAGCCTTGCACAGTCCTTACTGGAACGGCATGGCATGATGCAGAAGACAAGAGTGCATTGCTCTTATGCCCTGTTCCCATTCACTCCGGCTCTCTTTTAGCCCCCCCGTCCCTGTTGGCACCCCTAGTAATCTCATTGGCCTGGCAGGCTACTTCGTTCTTTGTGCGCTCTCACTACCCCTGTGATTATGGCCAACCACAATGAATGTTCAGACTGACAGACGGTTAATGCATCTTGATGTATGCTCCCAGATGTACTGAAATTAAGTGTGCTCTATCTGGATTTTGCCATGACTCCACAGTGTACACTCAAGAGCAGGCTGGTCTGCAGCCTGTGGCCCAGCAGATGTCTCACTGGTAAGCAGATAAGAATCTCTCTGCCTCAGTGTTCTTATCTGTGAAATGGTAAATACAGTATGACCATAGGTTTGCAAAAGCAACCCAACTCTACGTAGACACAACACATACCGGTGTGTACTCCCCCCACCCACCCATGGCTCCAAATTTAAGTGGAGGGGCTGATTAACCCTCCAGCTATTTTGGCCAATTAAAAATATCACATTCCTAGCTTTGTTTACTATGTGGCAAAGCGATTCATTCATCAAGAATGGGGTTCAAACTGTTGAATTACAACAGCCTTTCACAACCTGGTTAAGAATTAGGAGGCTTCGTCTCCATCACTGTCTATGTTAGCTGTAGTTGATGGGGGCCCAAAACATCTGGAAGGCATCCGATTGGGAAAAGCTTATTGTGTTAAACAATGGGCGGAACACAAGGGCTTCCCTGATATTGTTGGACTACAATTCCCATGAGTGCTAGCCAGTATAGCTAGTGAGGGGGAATGATGGGCACAACGGTCCAGCAACATCTGGAATTTGGCAGGATGTTACTGCCTTCTGATTTAAACCAAATATAGGGCAAAAAAGGGAGGAAGAAGGAAAGATAAATAATAACAAGTTCATATGCATTCATTATGCATTGCATCGTGCATTATATAAGGATACTTCATTAGTGCATCCGATTCAGTGCATGACCTCTAATGCTATGGGCTGTAGATGAGATGCATATGGCAGAGTACATTGATATCACCCACTCAGTTTCGCAGACCCACCACCAGCTTGGCCACTGCGCCACTGAATTTTGAAACCAGGATATAGGAGAGGGACGGCCTTGTTTCTTAAGCTGAATCACACAAGTGTTTGGAAGCAAATATGTAATTTATTTTAAAACAAAATATGTTATTGTTGTGTCACTCACTGGCCACACTGAAATCCAGCAACCCCGGGGGGGGGGGAGTGTTGAATGGATAGTGCCACTCCCTTCAGCACCCATAAGCTGCCATAGTTTTGGGTTTTGCTATGATAAATTTGTTCAGTCTTTATTGCAAGACCTCCTTGGTGTTTTTTTGGAGGAGGGTTTATGGCATAACGTAGCTACCCATATGGAGTCCATTACATTACTTAAAGATGACTTTGGGCACATCCTGAGAAGACTGGATTCACTGGAAAAGGCAATCATGCTGGGACACGTGGAAGTCAGCAGGAAAAGAGGGAGACCAAATACAAGCGAAGACTGGATTCGCTGGAAAAGGCAATCGTGCTGGGACACGTGGAAGTCAGGAAAAGAGGGAGACCAAATAGAAGATGGATCAACTCTCTAAAGGAATCCACAGGCTTACGTTTGCAAGAGGATTAAGGAGGAATTTTTTAAAAGGATGTGCCAGTCCAGCCCAGGGAACAAAAATAATTGTGCCTCTGTGTTTTAAGCTCAGTGTATCTCTCCCCACACCAGAAGTGTTCCAGTCTCTAGTAAACATCTGAGCTGTCCTCCTGGAAAGCATTTACAGATGCATAAGTTGTGAATTGTTTGAGGATAAACTGGAGCTTTGGGGGTGATTGATGGTGGGTGATGACACACCCCTCCCTTTTTTCCCCCCCAAGGTAGTCTCATAATTTGAAAAACAAGATAAGAACTTGTAACTTCAGATGGGGTCGTGTTCTATTGCCTGGGCGGTTGGTGGCCCTTCCAGCAGACCCCTTCCCCATCCAACCCAGCACTGGATGTCCCGTCACTTTCAACTTTTTTGGACACTTCACTGCCTGGTGTGGCCCACAGTGTAGGCAGGGAGTGAAAACTGGCTCCCAGGCTTCCAAGGCAGACCGTATTTCGTTTGATAACAGACCGACGTGGTGAATCTGGGCTTCGGCCGGTACATGCCTATCTAGGTGAATGAATGAATGAATGAATGAATGCATGAATGAATGAATGAATGAATGAAAGAAAGAATAAGTAAATAAATAACTGTTTTGTGGCACTTGAAAGATAAGCAAGCTCGTTGGATAGCTCAGTGGTTTAGGCATCTGGCTGCAGAGCTAGATAGAGGTTGGGACTTCGGTTCCCCACTGTGCCTCCAGAGAGAAGAGCCAGCCTAAGTGGCCTTGGGCCAGCTGCACAGTCCCAGGAAAATCCCAGAAGAAGGGAAAGGTAAACTGCTTCTGAATATTCTCTACCTGGAAAACCTTGAAGAGGGTTGCCGTAAGTCAGAATCAACTTGACGGCACACAGTTATTCCATTTAAAGATAAGCACATTTTTATTTGGTCAAAGATTCCATGCATAGCTGTCTCCTTCGTGGGAGAAGCGTGTGCCACATAAAACTGGTTAGCCTTTCAGGTGACACCAAACTCTTTGTTGCTTTCCTACAGGAGGCTGAAGCCTTGACGCTCTGTGCCTCAGACGTTTTGTGATATAGCGGCCAGAATGTTGGACTTGGAAGAAACTGGGTTTTCTCAGCCTGACCTTTAGCTCCTGAGACTGTGGAGACGAGAGAGGCTGGTGGAACATGTGCTTCGCCTTGGCTCTCACTTGAAGAAAAGCAGGAATATAATATAATAATAGATTTCTCTTTTTGTAGAAGAAGTTTATGTTTTTTTTTCTTTTTAATTCTGGGTTTCTCAGTTCCCATGATTGGAAAAAAAAACAGTCCAAAGAGACCCTGATAGTACAAGAAGGTGGTGTGGTCCAATAAAAACACACCCAAGCAAAATAAAAACAAGTGTGGGAGTCATGGGGAAGAAATTGGTGCCTGGAAGCCCCCTTGTGGCCAAGCAAGGTAAAGTTCAGAAATCTTAGATAAAGGGAAAGTAAACATATGACCTGTCATACCCCAACTGAGCAGTGGTAGAATAATGCTTTGAGACCCAGATCATCACCCCACCACTTTTTCGTTACGGATGGCTTTTGCAGATCATCTCCGTTGTTCTTCTCCAAGCTTGAAATGGTTCACTGCCTCTTCTTTCTGCACAGCTTTTTAAACCCACGGTGCAATTTCCTGCAGTGAGAACTCCCCCCCTTTTTTTTGAATTTTCCTCAGTCCCCACCTCTGATTCCTACAATGATGTCAGAAGCGATTTCAAAGAGTGGCAGTGAGGAAAATATTTAAGAGGCTGCACTGATATCCTTTTGCCCAGATTTTAACCTAAATTAAATGTGGCTGGTATTAGCTGAGAGATCTGTCAAGTCTCTGAGGACATTTTTTAAATCTACACTGTCTTGACACGGTCCCATTATTCCTGGGATATTTTGATCCTACATGAGGAGAGGACCTTATCTCTCCTCTGAGCTTCACACACACACACATACACACACACACAAAAAGGCAGACATGATGCAACTAGCAATTTTGGTACCCAGACCATTCAGCAGGGTCTCCCATCATCTACTG